TATAGTTTTTTTTCGCACATACTTCACCTATAAGTGCATAATTTTGCATATTTTACTCGTACGCATAACATTTGCATATCTATTCTTGGTCATATTTAGCAGGTTTGCTTTTCCTATTTAGCTTCGCGACATGTTCTTTTGTGATATGTTAAACTGTTTTTTTTGCTTTATAAGAATATATCTACATGCAAATGGAATAAATTATACAAAAATATATTTTCTAAGACCTGAAAAAGATCTTCAAACATATTCCCTCTTATGAAATATTACGTATGAATAAATTTGATTCAGTGTTAATTCGATTTGACACATTTTACACAACATAATTAATATTCTGTAACATTTCATATCAATATCGATTGCACGAATGCTTTTTCAAATCGCGTTAAAACGATTTTGATTGTACGTAATGAAATATCGAACTACATTAATCGAATAGCCCGAACCACCCATATAATTACTTTAAATCCAATGAATTAAACGAACCCTTCTTTTCCCCTTTAGAACGGTGTGTAATTAATTCATATAATGTACCATGTGAATCGTGAATGATACTATCTGTATATTATTATTAATAGTGTAATAGTTTATAGTAAACATAAACACAATGGTACATTTATAGTGTATTTCTCATGCAGCTTTTATGTATTCCGTACGTGATGTATGTCTCGCTAGAATTTCCCGATGGAGTCGACCTAGAGTAAATATGTAGAAGACAGTATACCACACAAATTGAGTTCTGATACGATTGCCATATGATATCTGTACAATGGTGTATAGACCCGATACGATTGTGTCCCGAATATGTATTTTCGCGCGAATCGTATCAATTCGGTCGAATGGCTCTAGCAGACTTTTCTTTACCCCGAGGAGAGTATATCACCCGAGAGCGAGAAATACGTTGATGTTTCCTCGTGTCAGCTATATTTACTTCAAGTAATGCCGCGTTTGAATTATCACCATCGTCAATCTGACTTTTATTGCAAATTTATCACACGGAGGAGAGAATAAACTCAATCTCTCCATTTTGCTAATTACATTAAAAAAAAAAAAATGGAATATTTTTTTTACGTTTTGTCGCGTCAACGTTATTGTCCTCGAATACAATGGAAACGTACATATTTTATAGAAAAGTACGAAATTATCGCATTTTATAAATTATTTTTTAAATAGGATGATATTTTAATTAATTTTTTTGTAGCGATTTGTCTTTGATCTATTGCGCGAAAAGAAACATAATTATTTCTCTCTGTCGTTTACTTCATTTATTTTTTTGGATGAAATATTTTAAACAGCGCAAAAGCGTGTGTTACATAAAAAAAAATAAAAATAATTTGACCTGCATAATTCAAGCAATTTGTTTGTGTAATTTGCATAATTCTTGAAAACGCAAAAATTAATTTTTCGGCTGTCAATGACTTTGCTCTTCTCAAATAGGATTATGCCGTACCACGTGCCGAACCTATTTCGAATGTCTGTGGGTACTTACTTTAACGAGATATTAACAGTATCATCGTTTCCTTGATTAGCAATGTGACAAACAAGAGGTGTCTTTTCTTGAAATATTGCGGCAGCGTGAATTGCGAAATGGGAGTTAGCGAATAACTCTTGTCGGGGAAGTGCCGAAGGGCTTCCGTTAGTAATTGTCATTCAAAAGATCTCGTCGCAGTGCGGTTAACCATGTACGTTCAGACTGCAACTAGCTTTCGTAGTATATCGTTATAGAGTGCCCTGGATACTGTCGGATATTGTCGTCGTTACTGATTCTATGTTCAATTTCCGAATCCGATCTTCCTTGACAATCTTCCTTTACAGAAGATCGCTCACTCGCAGCGATTTTTTTATAATCGTAAATATCGCGAGAGATTGAACGCGACACTTACGATGAAGTATAAATAATGATCGGTCGATGTAAAATTCTGACTGAATAATGCCATCGGTCGTCGTGAACTGGAAAAGGGAACTAGAAATAGAGTTGAATTATCTATCCATGCTTTTGATCAGTTGCCTCAGTTTGCTAAAAATCTCCTAACTTTTCCGAAGGATCAAGTGACTTCGCAACTTTTACCGACGCCGGTAAAACGACCGAACGTCGTATTTCTTACTTTGTCTCTCCGTTGAAAAGCATATCCGTTGTTCCCGGGATACTCTGTAAATAAAGTTCGCGGCCAACTTTTAGCAAACGACAACATGAAGCGTTCGGTATGACAATGGGAAAAGACGGCAACCTGGCAAGTATCAGCGTAACCGTAAGTGACGTTGCTCCTGGAATAGGGATAAGTGTCTCACTCCGTATCGATATACGATGACGAACCTAAAATCTAATATCTAAATGTTCGTTGAACGGTGAGCCTTACCATACCTCTGTCTGATGCTGACTGCGAAAATACAATTTCGTCTTGCGCGATCCTTTCGACGCCGCTCGTCGAAAGCTTTTAAGCGATTTAACGACATGTCTGATTTAATTTGTGTGTTTACGTGTCCATGGACTTAGCCGAGCAAGGGAGATCGATACCGATGGACCACGCGCTTAGGCTGGAATGATTTGTTGGCTAACTGCCATCGTCGTAAATTCTATTTTCACGGATACTCGCGGCCGGATGCGCAGCGCGGCCGATCCGACCGTGAGATTCGCTCGCAACCTGGCCTCGTCATACGGAAAAGATGGAAAATAAGAAACGCGTCCTGTGAAATTCCTTACCCTGGAATTTTCCGTTAAAAGAGCTTTTTTAGTAGGTCTGCATATCCGCCGACTCGATTCCGACTTGTAGTCTCGCACAAAGAGACAGGTATACGCGGCTCACAGAGAAAAAGCTAGAAATATAAAAGAAAGACGGGACACGTACGTTTTGTGATAGCGATGTTTTCGAAATAATACTGGAAACTTTGTGCGTGTCACGTAATTTTATTCGTAATTCAGATTTATATTTATATTCGAAATATACTATGTATAATTCAAAGTTTAAGCGCAACGGACGTAAAATTATAATATTTCTAATTTAATAAATGTTGAAAACAAAATGGACAGCTTGTATTTTCTAAACTGATCGTCTGATAGTATGGGGGACGTTATTTAAATTTAGTAATTTAAATTTTTAAACGCTTCGACAATCAAAGGCATCGCGCGGATTGCGTCAACGTTCTATCCGCCGTGTATCCGTGTAATTAATCAGAAGTTCAATGACTGGTAACTTAATAACAATTGAATGAAGGGAATTTCAGGTGCTTCACGACGAATGCACCGAGCGCGATGAGTAAGCTCTTCGCACGAGCTACGTTTATCTGACGGCTTTTGCGTGATCTTATTCGGAAACGCGCGATCGTCGGATACGGATACAGGATGTCGGTTAGAGATAGATTCGTGTCGAAAGTTGTGGACGATCGTTGATGCGTAGGAGTTGGCCGGGTGCCAGATAACATGCGAAAAGCCGTAGTTTCTCGCGCTTTGGTACACGACGAAATCAGAACTGCTCCGAAACGCTCGGAAACACGAGAAGAATGTATATATAATATAACTATAACGCGCGGTATGCTTTGAAAAATTCACATGTATTTTAGACTACAACGTGCCTGAAATATTCTTCCTATAAAAATAGAAGTGACATACTTGAAATTACATTTTTCGTACATTATATATAAATGATATTTTTTTCACGCACACTCATAATAAAAGTGATATTTTTTTCAAAATAATAAAATCACAAATGATATCAATCGACAGATGGAGTCTTGGCGAATAATTTTTCTTCGTTTCTTGATTTAATATATATATATATATATAAAAATTCAAGGGGATTGCTTATATCGCAAACTACGTGTCGTTATAATTACTGAACTTGTAACGTAGCCCGCTATCAAAGCTATATCTCTCTTTCTTAATAAATCGATGATCAATTTTCAGAATTAATCGCCACCCGCAGAATTCTTTATTACGAATAATATTTGATATCTTTTTCTTTCGCAATAATCGGTTTCCGACAACAAAACAAACAATTTCATATATATTTCTCTTCGGTACACAAACATCTTTTCGTTAGTCTTTCACGTTTTGGAAGAATGTTTCTTGTCGATTGATGTTGCGTCGTTTAATAACTTCGATGAGCTTCAACGTTTAGCTCGTCGACAACGTTGCGAGAAACGATCGGTCTCTCGCCGATCGACGAAAACGAGCTATCAATCGCGTTTCTGACCTTCGCGGTAGATCGCGTAGAATGGTTTCATCGAAGACTTACGATTAGTTTTGTTCTGCTGGAAAGCGCTCTACCACCTGCTGATCTCAATAGGATGGAAATTGAATCGATTTGTCCTGACGTAGATACGGGGACTGAGGTAAATGAGAATAGTTGTGGGAGCGTAAAATTGGACGCGAAAATATCGACTCGGTTTCGTAGCTTGGATAAAAATTAGGACGGAGAGATCTTCTTCCCCCCCATATTGAATTTGAAAGAAGTCCGATCCGAAGTCGGTCTCCGTGTCCCTCTCAAAATAAATTTGTAAGAGCACGAATACAACAGTTGCGTAATACATTTGTTCTTTTTCCGTGGATCGCGTATCTATCGCGTTACATTTATCACTTCAACCCGGCGTCATTAGGTGTCTCGCACAAGGTCATTCTTAACGTATAATTTTTATTTGCGTAATTTAAAGAGAAATAAGAAATATTCATATCATAAGAAACTTACTGCAAATGCGAAATACAATAATTTAGCAACAATATTAATTGTAAATTATGTGATAAAAAATATAAAATATTTTTTATCATACAATTTGTATGTATATATTTATATTATATGATATAAAATATACATTTTACATTCTCTCTCTTATTTCTTGTTCTATATTTTGAATGTCTTTATAAATTACGATTGTCAGCTTTTCAAAATACGTACGGAGTTTTTCTCTTAAATAAAGTTAATTTTAGAAATCTAATACAATAAACAGGATATTTTTTTAAGTCAAGTCTTCGAATTTATTATTAGTACTTGTTTCCACTGTTTCAGGTTTGAACGTTCCGAACGTTGACGTATTTCATCCTTGTAACTTGTCAATAACGTCAATCATGGAGACGCAAACTGAGGTCAGTAAGACAATTTTTACATTTTTCGCGTTTGTGATATGTAAATATAAAATTAAGAAGCTGAAGTTTTGACTTTAAGGTGCACACGCAGACTAATTTATTTTTATTTTTATTTTCGCTTTTATCTGCATACAAATGTACAAATTATTTAAGCTTTATTATAGAAAGACAGGAATGAAGCTTGATCCCTGCAAATGCAAACTTCTACAATCTTTGTTGCATTTTCTGAAAAGAAAACATAAGCTTCTTGAAAAATTTAATGCGATTTTCATCATGATTACGTGACTGAAGTTTGCAGAAAATAACATGTCCCTAGACACTACATCTACGTATTTCTGCAAGAAACTTTTAATAAAAGTTCTTAAAGCTTCTCTCTGTATAACATTTAATAGTTATGTTCCATTCTAAATAATGATTTTTCATACGAGAAATGTATTTATATATATAGAATACTCAAAGAAGAATTAAAAAATTTTAAAATCTTTTAACACGTGAAAGAGTAATAAAAATTTCATATATAAAAATGTATGCTTAAGAATTAACACCTTTTTATATAGAAGACGTTTTATGTTTCGATAATTTAAACAGCTTATCTAATGGGATTTGTCTTCGCAGTTTCATTGTAAATAAAGTAAAATAGACTTTTGAAAGTTTTGCGATTTTTTTCTGTTTTAAATTTATTAAACATTTTTATAATTACATTATGGCTTCAAATTTTAAAATACAATGTTTTAATTATTTAAATACATAACAACATAAAAAATTAATTTAAATTAATTTAAAATTATATAAAAATAGATACTTTTTAATAATTGTTTGAATCATTTTTATTAAATTCTGTCAACATACTTTTACTAATCATCACAAAACAGATGTAAACATTTTTTTATTGTTTATATATGATATTTTTTTGGATTAAACCGTCGAGAAATATAACATGTAGAAATATAATTCTAGAAAATTTTTATACGTCTATAAATTGACTGAAAAATCCTGTTAGGTCTTTAAGAAATTAGAGCGCAGTTCCAATTTCTTTACTTCGCAATTTTTTTTTCATTAATATTTCATCGTTTCTACGATATAATGAAGCTGGAAATAATGCATTATGTCAATGTACCCCTGTCGTATCAAATCGGCTTTCAGACGCGGTCGATTAACCGATATTCCCCTTCCCTTCCTTCTATCATTCACCGGGGTGGAATCCTCTTGCGAGTCCTCGAATCGAAGGTACTCATCAATCAGCAACTCGACAATGTGAGATCTCGAAAACGATCGACAAGAAGGGGAACGCGAAGATAGATCTGACATTTCCTTGAACGATAACGGAAATCGAGCTATCGGTTGCGTCAAACTTGTCGCTACGCTTGTATCATCTCTTTTTCGCAAAAGAGTGCTACTCGACCACGTAAATATTTATTTACACCACGAACCGTCATTTCTTATGCAAATTATACATTGACGCTGATATAACATTCAACAAGGATCGCTCGCAAAAAGTAATACGACCATGAATCACGTGGATGGTGCAACATTAGTGATTGCACCTTGCGTGAACCTTGCAACGTTGAAAACAATCACATTGAATCCATTCATTGGAGAAACGTTTATCCAATTTATTTAATTTTTGTAAATTATGAGACATGTATGCGATTATCTGGGAATTAATTTATTTGTTCATTAGAGAAATTAATAGATATGAATCGCAAAAAATAATTTATATCTCAAAATCCTTATTTTTAAAGAAAATATGTATTTATACAAGAAAAGTTTTTTGCGTTAAATAAAACACTTATAAGATAATATTTATTTTTTAAGTAGTTTGACGCTATATTTATGAAAATTACTGACTCACTTTATAAAAATATAGTTGTTCTTAATTTCTTCAAAATTTATATTCGTAAACGAATGTTGTCCCTGAAATAAGCAGTTTGATTGAAACGTACCTCGAAATTAACTGAAGAATAAACTGAAGGATAAGGATTTTGAAATAATTTAAAATTTTTTGTGGTGAATGAAAAATCTTTCGAGCTATAAAAATTGAAGCTTATTCTGAAGATAATTTTTTTTATTAACTTAGCAGAATTTTTTTAGATTTATCGGTTTGATTATTTATTTAGAAAATTTTTAAATTAGTTACTTACAAAATGTTGTCTGGATCCAAACTTTAATTAATTTATCGTTGCAATACTATCTCTTATTCATTTGTATGGAAAGAGTTTAGTTTAAAGCGTATACCATCGGGCTTTAAATTGGAATTTTATTCATTTATAAAGTCGGTAACGGAAGCAGAAAACGATAAATCACAATTATACGTGTACCACTAGATGGAACAATGATATACATCACATTTTCCTCATTAAAACAAAAGATTTTACGAGTACTTAATACAAAATTTATCGTTGTTATTGTTTTATTATAATACGTTTTCATTGTTCTTTATATGAGCAGCAGAATCTAAAATTTAATACTATGCTATAGTTTGTGCGCAAAAAGAAAAGCTTTTATACAATTTTGTTTTTACTTGATTAATACGCTGCTTCTGTAGTTTGTGCAATAGCATTCTTGCTCTGCGTTAAGTTTAAATAAAACGCAGCATAAAAGTTACATT